GCCCTTCCCTAACTCTCTCACCTCAACTTGGGTCACCCTGCCCCATTTCCAAAGGTCTTATGAAATAACTGGGGGAGGCCAGAGAGAAGGGAGTGGTATGATATAGAAAAGAGCACCCAGCCTGCCAATGACTGATGGAGGGGAGTTACTCAATCCAATTTATGGGCTGGGTAAGAGAGGAGATCAGCTTGGAGGCTTCAGCGGAATCCGGAGGAGGGATGATGGTGGTCTGAGTTTAAGTGATGGCAGTAGGGACAGAAAGAAGTGGAAATATTTGAGGTAGATTGTGGAGAATTAATGGGATTTGCTGGTGGATTGAAAGTGAGGGATGGAGAAGGAGGAATCAGGAGGAGGTTCCTGGTTGGTAGGTAGTGCTGTGTCCTGAAACGGACAGAAGAGAAACAGGTTTGGGGTCAGGGAATCAAGTGTTCTGTTTTGTGGTTTATGATGCAATATCAAGTTGTCATCTGTAAGGATGGGTATATGAATCTGGAGCTCAGAGGACAAACACGTGGGCTGGACATGTGAATTTGGGGCCTATAAATGGTATTTACAGCACTAAGAATAAAAGACATCACTTATGGTGAGAAGTAAAGAAAAAAAAGCTGGCCCAGGACAAATCCCTGGAAAACGCCAATATTTAGAGTTCAGGTAGAAAGGGAAGGCCCTGCAGAGGAGAGAGGATCGGCAGGAGGCAGGAGGGAACCAAGAGGGGCCCAAGAAAGGACAGTGTTTCAGGAGGGATGGAGTCATCACTTATGTCAAAGGCCACTGGGAGAAGAGGGCCATCCATGGCTGTCCTCGGAGAAGCTGCGTGAATGTCACAAAGCGGTTTTGGTGGAGTTTGGGGACAGATGGAGAAGTGAGGAGAAGCAGAAGTGGAGGTAGTGTGTGCAGACAAGTCTTTCAAGAGATTGGGGGTTGGAATAGCACAAGGGCAGGGGACAGAGGGTGTGGTTCGAGGGATTTATTTGTAAAGTGTGGGTAACACGGGAGCTCGTTCATGTTGTGATTGGGGATGATCCAATAGAGAGAGAGAGAGATCAATGATCCCAGAGAGAGGAACAGTGACTCACGGAGGGAAGGCCCTGAAAAGAGAGCAGCATATGAGGTCCATGTGTACAGGCGTGGCTCAGACCAGCCAAAAAGCATACCTTTGCTCCAGTATGAGACCCAGGCCCAGGAGCTCCTTAGCAAAAGGAACAGCCACACTGTTCCAAGGGTCACTGTTGCTTACCAACCTGTCTTTAATAAGATGTTTCAACTGAATTCCTTATTAACCGCCATTTCAACTTATGCTAACAGTTCCTGTCACTGGGGTCCCCACTCTGCTTCTTTCCCTCGCCCAAAGTCTGGTACTTCCGACTCTTTTGTTGAAATGCTACGAAACTGGAAAGCTCAGGTTTCTTCTTTCTTGTACTGTTAATAATATATGCATTGAGATGTGAAAAATAATACTTCACAGAGAAGATGGATTTAGGGACTCTCATTCGATTTTAAGGAAGAAGAAAAGAGTTCAGGTAGAAAAGGAAGGCCCTGCAGAGGAGAGGGGATTAGCCAGAGAGGCAGGAGGGATTTAAATCTCCAGTTGCCAAAAATTGCAGGATTTAGATCTCGAGTTCAGGGCTTTCTGATGAACTCCAACTGCCTTCTTGCCCACTTGCCCACAGGCGTCTCAGACTAAGCAGAACACTTAATTCACTCTATTTAACCACCCAAACTCATTCATTCCTCCTACAGTATTTAACCATTACAGAACATGGTCCCACCATCTACCCATCTGACACATCTACCCAGAGTCATTCTGGATTCCTCCCTCTACCCACTCCATACAATTAATTACTGCCTCTGACACATTTCTCAAATTCTTCTACTTTTCTGCATGCCCTCTGAGTCTGCCCTAGTCCAGGCCACCATCATCTTTCATCTGGATCATTACAAGAGCCATCTAACTGGTCTCCTGGCTGCTTCTCCTTTTTTTGGGGGGGGGGGGGGCGGAGATCAGCCCTGAGCTAACATCCAATGACAATCCTCCTCTTTTCTGCTGAGGGAGAGTAGCCCTGAGCTAACATCCATGCCCATCTTCCTCTACATTATATGGGATGCCGCCACAGCATGGCTTGACAAGCAGTGTGTAGGTGCGCGCCCAGGATCCGAACCTGTGAACCTGCGAACCCTGGGCTGCTGAAGCGGAGCGTGCGCACTTAACCGCTGTGCCACCGGGCCAGCCCCTCCTGGCTTCTTCTCTTGACCCACCTCCACCCAGAGAATGATCTTTCAAAACATAATTGAATCAATTCATTCCTCTGCTTGAAACCTTCCAAGGGCTTCCCATTATATTCTCCTGCCAACTGGAGTTGTTCACGTCCCTCCCTGAATTCTGTGTCTCTGCCTGGAATGCCCTTCTCCCAAAAACCTTCTTCTCCTACTGGCTCCTTCTCATCCTACAAGTCAAGGAGGTTTGTTTTTTACGCAGCAGGCCTTCTCTCACACCCTCTACCGGAGGCTCCCTTCCCTGTTTCCCATCACAGCACCCTGCCAAGTTCCTTTTCAGTTGGAACTAGATATTTTAAGTTTTCACAGTCTCCCTGCAGGAGGCAGTAAACTCTGTAAGGACAGAGATGTTCACCTGTGTTTCCTCAGAGTCCAGCATGATGCCTGGCACACAGTAGGTACTTTATTTGATGAATAAAATGCTTTGCTATGAGCAGACTTTCTGCCTGTGAGATTCATGGTTGCACTTTTATAAAAATTAATAAAGAGTTAAGCAACTCATGAAGGTTATTCTTCCTGGCTGGTTTACTCTTCTGGTTGCTGCCATTCTAGTGTCTAATAGGTGTTAATAACTACCATCTACTGTGCCCCGTGCATGGCAGGCACTGCACAACCCAATGAGGTGGTCCTATTAGTCCCGTTTTACAAATTAAAACCTAGACTCCATCTGCTTATCATTCTTGATGTTGAATCTTGAATTGTTTACTGCACTTTGAAATCATGGAATTTTTCAAGTTGAAGGAGATTAACTTAATCCAGTTTACTTGATGAGGAAGGTAAGGCCCAGAGAAGGAAAGCCTAAGTCTCCTGATGGAGGAACTGGGCCTGGAACCCTGTTAATGGTAAAAACAAAACTGTTCACAATGGTCAGACTAGCAAGCTACCCATCCTGCTCTGCCTTCGAGAAGCAGCCCGTTGTCATCCTTGAAGTCTTACTGTCTAGCTCGTTGGTCACAGAGTACCTAGAGTATGCCAGGCTCTGTTCTTGGCTCTGGAAATGCAGCAGAGAGCAAGACAGACTAAATCTCTGCCCTCATGGGGCTGACACTCCAGTGCTGGGAGATAGGCAATAAACAAGTAAACAAATGAACAAGAATATTTCAGACAGAAACAAGTGCTATGCAAGACTGTAAAATGGTGAAGGAATACAGCGTGAGGGGAGGGAGCAACTACTTTAAATAAGGTCCCTGAAGAGGTGACTTTGAGCTGAAATCTGAAAAATGAGGAGCCAACCGTGAGAAGAGCCATGGGAAGAATGTCCCACACAAATTGAACAGCAAGTGCAAAGGCCCTGAGGCCAACTCAAGCTTGGCAGTTAAGAAGAGGAGCATGGACGGGTTCAGGGAAAGGTGGTGAGGGTGGTACAAGAGGAGGTTGTAGAGAAAGCCAGGGTTAGGTCATTCAGGGTCTTGTGGAGTGTTTGGATTTTATTCAAAGTGCATGGGGAAGCTATTAGGCGTTTTAAGCAAGAAAATGAATATGAGCTGGTTTATGATTTTAAAAGATCACCTGTGTGGATTAAAGAAGGAGGTGATTCAAACAGGGAGACCAGATGGAGGGCTGTTGCAGTGGACCAGTGGCTTGTATTAGGGTGGTAGTGGTGGAGGCATACAGGATATATTCTGTCCCCTCCCCCCCAAAGCCCCAGTAGATAGTTGTATGTCATGGCTGCACATCCTTCTAGTTGCTGTATGTGGGATGCGGCCTCACATGGCTGGAGAAGCGGTGCGTCGGTGCGCGCTGGGGATCTGAACCGGGCCGCCAGCATCGGAGTGTGAACACTTAACCACTAAGCCACGGGCCGGCCTGTACAGGATATATTTTGGAGGTAGAAGAACCAACAGTACTTGTCCATAATGTGGATATTGGGGTTGGGGATAGAACGGATTGAAGGAAAGAAAAAAATTAAGGAAGATTTTCACATCTATGTGGTGAACCTCAAATTTAGAAATATATTTAACATATATTCAGCCTCCACTTATTACATTTAATTTCTTAATTAATTGGAGCACAGCATAGCATAGGCAAAGAACTTGGACTAAATCTTAAATTCCAGTCCTATGTGATCTTGGAAAGTGTCTAAACCCGAACAGCCGCTGTTTCCTCATCTTTAAAACGATGATTGGATGTCTGCGGATTTGAGATGTTTGTAAAGCTCCACAAGAACGCCTAGAGCTCCCAGCGTGTAAGAAGGTTGTGGGAAATCCAAACGCGACGAGGTGGCGAGCCTCATATTCCAGGTTTTATTCAGAAGATGGTGATGGAGGGCGAGTGTTGCAGGATTTTGAGCATGCGGGACATCTACAGCATTGGGCATAAGAGTATTCCAGTCGGCCTGAATTGGAAATGAGTCTCTCTGCTAGGCATTCCGGCCCAACGGCACCTGAAATTTCTAATCAGGGAGAATGCGAGGTTATCCCTGGAGCCTGAAACAGTACCTGACTACCGTAGGTGCTCAATAATTGTTTAATGAAGGATAGGGTAGGGGTGAAGGGAAGACGCTGACGTAGAGGTAGGAAAACAGTCCGCAACAGCCGCTGGAAGGCCCGAGCTCGGGATTTTCACGTCGCTGTAGCAACGCCCCGCTCCACGCGCACGCACCCGGGAACTACAAGTCCCACAAGCGTCCGCGGCTTTCCCGCCCCCGGGGAGGAGGGGCGCGAGCGAGCGCGGAACCAGCTTTCCCTCTTTCCTGAAGCGTGATTGGTCCGCGGCTCTGGGAGACGGCCAATGAGTGCGCTCGCGAGAGCGGCGAGGCCAATATGGCTTCCTGCGCCTGGTGACGGTTGAAGACGCTGTTTTGGGTCTCATGGAGAAGCCCCGGGGAGTCGAGGTGAGGGGGGAAGGACTTATCGTGACTGAGAAGGGGAACCCCGAGAGCCTCGCTCGTGGACCCTTTAGGCCTTTTAGTGAAGGCTGGAGGGCGGAGTGTGGAATGATGGATAGACGGAGGTAGTTAGGCTTGACCCGGGCCAGAGGCGGTCGCTGTTGCCTGTTGAGAAATGTATAAACAAGAGTAATGATCCTGGTGTTTGCAAAAGGGGTATTTGATTCTGCCTGCCACTTTGCCCAAGAGTGTTGACTTCACCAAGAACTGGAACGGGAGCTGGTAGATTTGCCACCTCCCTCCCCATACACTAAACCAACCATGATTCCTTCTGCCTGTTTTGTGCCATCCTTCAACCAGGAGACTCCGTCTTCAGAACCAATGGAGGAAGAAGAGGAAGATGACGACTTGGAGCTCTTTGGTGGCTATGACAGTTTCCGGAGTTATAACAGCAGTGCGGGCAGTGAGAGCAGCTCCTACCTAGAGGAGTCAAGTGAAGCAGAAAATGAGGATCGGGAAGCAGGGGAGCTGCCCACTTCCCCGCTGCATTTGCTCAGCCCTGGGACTCCCCGCTCCTTGGATGGCAGTGGTTCTGAGCCAGGTGCCTTCAGAGTGTCCCCTGAAGATGGGGAGGTTTCAGGAGGCTATGGAGGAAGAGGGGGATAGAGCCATGTGGGCAGAGCCCTCCAGGTGTAAAGGGCTGTTTGATCTGATGTCTAAGGACCTGTGAGAGAGACAGAGCATCCCAAGTAGCCCCAAGGATCATTTCTTCTGCAGTAGTCGGATTTCGTTCATACAACTAGTATTTATTCAGCACACATTACATGCCAGTCATTAACATGGTGCTGCTTGTACATTTGTGTGAATAGCTAGTGGATTTCTAAGCCTGGAGGTTGAGAAGGTAGAACATTTGTTCTGGTTACTCTCTGGGTAGGGACAAGAAATAGCTTGCGGGGTGGGAGTGAGGGGGAGGGAAATATAGAATAAAGTGACCTCCAAGTAAGAGGAGTAGGGTGGAGGTGAGCAGATAAGAATCCCCATGGATCATCTGGAAGCCACTTGGCTTCAGAGATGTGATCTTGGACAGCTGCTGGACCCCACTGTCAGTGCCTCCAGCGTGTGGACTGCCTGTGAAAAGAGGCCGGCTAGACGGTTTGTGATAACACTCCTGTTGCTTGGTACCTAAACTTTTCAGAAAAGAATACTCTTTGCCAGTTGAATCTTATTTCCTTTCTATTTGTCATGTCTTCCCTTCCTCTCTCCTTTCTTTTATCTTTCTCCCCTCTATCTTCTTCAACCATTCTTTTAGAATCTTAGAACTTTAGAACTAGAAGGAACCATTAGAGACCATCTACTGCAGGGGTTCTCTATCCTGGCTGTGCATTAGAATCACCTGGGGGGAGGGGGCGGGCCCCGTGGCTTAGCCGTTAAGTGTGCGCGCTCTGCTACTGGCGGCCCCGGGTTCGGATCCTGGGCGCGCACCGACGCACCGCTTGTTGGGCCATGCTGAGGCGGCGTCCCACATACAGCAACTAGAAGGATGTGCAACTATGACATACAACTATGTACTGGGGCTTTGGGGAGAAAAAAAGCAAAAAAAAAAAAGAGGAGGATTGGCGATAGATGTTAGCTCAGGGCCCGTCTTCCTCAGCAAAAAGAGGAGAATTGGCATGGATGTTAGCTCAGGGCTGATCTGCCTCACACACACACACACACACACAAAAAAAAGAATCACTTGGGGAGCTTCTAACAAACTAGAAATGCCTGGGTCCCACCACAGACCAGCTAATTAGAATCTCAGGCTTGGGCATTTTTAAAAGCTCCTCCAGTGATTCTAATACGATGTCAAGGTTGAAACATTTATTTAGTTCAGTCTCTTTATAGAAGAGAAGAAAATGGACCCACAGAAGTTAAGTGATGTGAGCACTTTTTTCCTTCTCAGTTTTCTCTTCACAAACTTTCCTCACCTGTTTCCTCTGTCATCCTCATGGATTTCCCTTAGCGCCACTGTTGACACATGTAGCCAAGGGATGCCAAGCAGCTTATCTTGGGTGAAATAGGTTCAGATGGACACCCCAGAACTTCCTTCTCTTCCAGTTCTGCCAGCCTTAGGGGGACTGGGACTTAACCTGGTTAATGCAGTGCCCCAGCTTTTGAAGGGCCCATCGTTTTGTTTGATTTGGGGTAACCGCATCAGGTGAGTCATGTGCTAAGTTCTCTTCCCAGCTGTCTGTGAGATGTGTGGTATCGTGGGTACAAGGGAAGCCTTCTTCTCCAAGACCAAGAGATTCTGCAGTGTCTCCTGTTCCAGGAGCTACTCCTCCAACTCCAAGAAAGCCAGTATCTTGGCTAGATTACAGGTGAGAGGCAGTCATTTGGAAGACCCTTCCCAGGGCCCTGGGTGCTGAGATAGCAACAACAATTGACTGATGGCAAGGGGCCAGGAGGGCTAGGGAAGGACCTTGCTTATGGCTGTCTGAGGTTGTAAATTTCATGGTATTATGTTCTCAAACCATACAGGGCAGGGGAATCCATTTATGGAGCTTGTTAAATTGCAGATTCCTGGGGCTACCCTCCATTCCCCACCCTCACCCCTCAGAGTCTGATGTGTTCAGTAAGTTTTAAACAAGAACTTTGAGGGAGTCTGATGCCCTTGGTCTTCCCACCATACTTTTTTTGTGTGTGTGAGGAGATCAGCCCTGTGCTAACATCTGCCAATCCTCCTCTTCTTTTTGGTGAGGAAGACTGGCCCTGGGCTAACATCTGTGCCTGTCTTCCTCCACTTTATATGGGACGCCGCCACAGCATGGTTTGCCAAGCAGTGCGTCGGTGAGCACCCAGGATCCGAACCGGCGAATCCCGCCGGGCCGCCGCAGTGGAGTGCACGCACTTAACCGCTTGCACCACTGGGCCAGCCCCCCACCATACTTTTATAAATGCTCTGACAGTAGGATGGGAAACAGGCACAAGGTTCACCAGCTATGGTGGGTTTAGGACGTTGATGCATCGTCTCTGACTCCATGTCATAGGCAGCCACCTAGAATGTCTTACCAATCTCTAGTTAATTATTGACATTCATAGAATTTTTAGAAATGGAATATTCTTAGAGATGTGTTGTCTAAACCACACATTAATTGCTGAGGTCCAGAGAGGAAGAACGACTTACCTAGGGTGGCTCGGTAGGAAGACAGCGACAGAACCGGGACTGGAACCTAATCTCAGGTGCCTGGCCTCGTGTCCTTTCATGGTAACTATGGCCACAGTCCCCAACACTGGTTCTCAAACTTGACTGCACGTTGGGATCACCTGGAAAGGTTTTTAAATGTTGCTGCTTGGGTCTTACTCCCAAAGATTCTGATTTAATTGGGATGGAGTGTGGCCTGGACATAGGGGCTTTAAAGAGCTCCCCAGGTCATTGTAATGTACAGCAAAGCTGAAGACCCACTGCTCTGACATTTATTGTGTTAAAAACAAAATTCAACTGAGTAAATTTGAAGATCTAATTGGCTTTATTCGATGATTCATGAATCATACAGCATCCCATCTAGCAGATAGAAAGGAGCCCCAAAGAGCTGAACAAAATGGGAGACTTTTATAGGCAGAAGGGGGCAGGGACAAGGAAAGAGCAGATCACCTCATCTTTCTTTGGGGAACGGAAGGGATCTAGCAGGCGGATTACCTCACTAGTGCTGACCAGGAAGTTCCAGGTTTACTTAAGATTGCATTCCTGGGAGAACTGGCAACTGCTCTTGGTATTCAGTCCTGGTTTGCAGACATGGGGTTGAGCACAAGTGACTCCATTTTGGTCCTGTTGTCTCTTTTTTTAACAATTGAAGTTTCAGCATGCCAGGTCTCCTGCTTAGTGCTTCATACATTATCTCTCACCTCTGTGAGACAATTACCATTTTTTCCCTCATTTTGCGGATTTTAGTCAAGGCACAGAAAAATCCCTCTCCTCAGTGAGCTAATAGTAATATTGTTAATAGCTACAGTTTGGGGGTACTTGCTAAGGACTTGGCACTCTCAGTCCAACCACTGATCCCTAAAAGATGAATTTTTAAAGATTCCTATTTTAAAGGCTCAAAAACTTTTAGTAACTTACAAAGGTACACAAATAAAATTGAAGAGCCAGGATTGGAACTGAGGTCTTTGTGGGATTTAAACCCACGTTTCTACTTTACTGATCTCTTTAATAAATTCTCTGGGCCTTTCTGATCAGTGCTTAAGTTATAAATTACAGACCAGATCAGTGGCCTTTCATTTTGGGGGATGACCCCTTTGAGTACCTGATGAAAGCCATGGACCCTCTCCAGAACATTCATGTGTGTACAAAATATTGTCTCCTGCTTCAGCTCACAGACCCTCTGAAGCCCATTGTCTGCCATAAATCTGTAGGAGCACCAGAGGAAGGAGATGGCTGGAGGAAGTGAAGGCTTAAAAGATAGAACAGGTGTCCCTCCCTGCCTCACCTCCCCACCCCTCCAGAGTTGAACAAGAGCTGACCACTTAAGTGAGTGCAGGGCTCAGTAGTCACTCTCAACCTTTAACGCCCTTCTGAGCTAAGCATTGTTATTATTATCATCGTGATTTACAAATGAAGAAACTGAAGCCCCAAGGAAGTTAACTGAACCAGTGCCTGGATAAACCTAGGCAGTCCAAATCCAGATCCATGTTCTTAGCCGTTAGGCTATACCCATCCTCTCCTCCTCCCTCCAGGGGAAACCACCTACCAAGAAAGCCAAGGTCCTGCACAAGGCTGCCTGGTCTGCCAAAATTGGAGCCTTCCTCCATTCCCAGGGGACAGGACAGCTAGCAGATGGGACGCCAACAGGGCAAGATGGTAAGACAGCAGAGGACTGGTGCTCAGGAAGTGCTGGGGGCGGGGGGTGCCAGGACTGGGGTGGCCTCCCTAGGAGCCAGGAATGGAAAAAGATGGCCAGCTAGAAAGTGACCTAACCCAGGCTCATGGAGGATTGCATCTTCCTCACCTGGTAGGTATTGTGGAAATTACCTCAGAAAAATCCCTTCAATTGCTCTTAAATTGCCCTACTCCTAATGATTGACAAGCAGAGAATTGGCTGCTTTTGTTTTGCATTGCTTTTAGCTCTATGGCTTTTGTTTTCCTGGGGCACTGGAGACCCAGATCTGGTTTGAAGAGGGGTGGTGGGATAAGGAAAGGAACCTTTCTCTCTGAGTGTGTGTAGCAATTTCTAAGCAAATTAAATGTAGGCATGGAGCAACTCCGCTCTAGAAGGTCTGAGTTTTTAACAAGTGGGACTCCACAGGCATGAGGGTTGGAGGGGCCTGGGTGTGTGCACCTCCCACCCATTTAGATTGGCTGTGGCCAATGAGAGGTTGGGGGAGGTCTGAGGAATGTAAACCCAAGGGTCTTTGAATTTCCTTCCTTTGGGGAAAGAAAGGTCAGACATTTCCCTGTAAGTGTCTCCTATGCTCTGAGAGTTGGCAGCCTTTGGATAAGGTCCTCCCCCATCCTGATGGCCACTGATAGGGCAGGTATGGGAGTGGGTACAGGGCTGCTCAGGAGAGGGTGGCCCCCCATGGACTTGGGATCGAGGTGCTGCTGGGGTGGGAAAGGGAGCTGCTTCTACACGCTCTGCAAGGGCCAGGTTCCTAGAGTGGCTGCTGCTTGAGCTCCCAGCCTCAACTCTCTCAACTCTTCCTCTTTCTGCTCTGCAGCACTGGTCTTGGGTTTTGACTGGGGAAAGTTCCTGAAGGATCACAGTTACAAGGCTGCTCCTGTCAGCTGTTTTAAACACGTGAGTGCCCTGGAGATGAGGGGAGGGAGAGCAGGGAACCCCGGTGCTCGCCACCCGTCTCACCCACCTGCATCGTGAGCGTCGTTCCAGGCTGGACATTGGCACTGGGGAGAGAACAGTGGTGAGGTCTGGGTGGTCAGAGCCCAGCTTTGCCTCTTGCTCCGGTTTACCTTTCTGCCCACTTCTTTTCGGAAAGTCCTCCCACAAATCCTCATTGAAGGCTTCTAGCACTGTGCTTCCCCTCTGAGGTCCCCACTTTGCTTATTTATCTAATGGAACTTTGTGCTGGTTGATGTCTAAGAGCCAACTCTGAAATCCTTTTCTCCTTTCTTCCCTGTTTTTACTGTTTTCCCATTGAAAGCTTGGTGCTTTTGAACTGCCCTGGGCCCCCTGGTCCTCCCTGACCCCCTATCATTGAGAAACACCAGGAGGGTGAGGCCCTGGAGGGTTGGGCTTGAAGTGGAAGAACTTAACATGCGGCATCCATAGCCTGTGCTAGTCTGCAGGCCAGGAGAGAAGCCGAGAGCAGCACTCTTGTTTTGTCTTTCAAGCTGATTTCCTAAACCTCAAGAAATTCAGGAGGAGGCCTCCTCACTCGTGGAGTCCTCTCACCAGAGTAAACCCACATCCTAGCCTCTCCTTTCTGAACTGCTACTGAACTCTGAGGAGCGTCCTCAACAATGAAGCAGCTTGACTCTCTTACTCCTCCCCTCTGAATTACTAATGAAGGTGCACCTGGTAGGGAAGGCTCTTTTGCCGTGCATTCTCTAGCAGTCCTGGCATTTTCATTGCAGGGCAGGTACATCATACTTGCATTTAACATATCTCATCCACTATGCTCTGTAAAAAGCCCACCCCTGTGTAGCATAACCATTTCTAGGTTCTGTGATGGACCTAGTCTCTGTGGCCAGGGAGATAGAATGGGATACCCCAATTGGCTTAAGCCAAGGCTGAGAATGAAAAAATGGTCAATTTCCCCAAAGGAGGATCGAGGTGCTGTTGGCAGCAAAGTGAGGATTAGCTATTGGGGAGGCAACCAACAATGGTCCACTGCTGACGGGGCATTTCACAGGAGAAGACCAGCTGGAGAGGTGGAGAAAGAATGTGCCAGAAATAATGTGTAGGTAGACAGCTCTGAGAGAGCCAGCATGGTAATAGCTGAGAGATGAGGGGGTCATGATCATTACTGCCCAGGCTCGAGTGATGATTGAGAGGTGATACTTGTGCTGAGCACAGTGCCCGGCACGTGGTGAGCACGAGGAAGTGTTAGGCTGGTACAGGCGTGATGTGCCCAAGACAGTACAGCTAGGAGCTGGTCCTGTAAAGATTAGCACTCGGGGCTGTCTGACTCTGGATCTCTGCCCACCACCCCTCTATTTCCTGACTCAGTTCTTTAAGGACAGCAGACACGTCTTGGTCATCTCTTTATCCCTGGTCCCAGTGCCTGGCTTTCCGCACACCATGAGTGATGTGAAAAGTTGAGGTGCAGAGAAGGACGCAATGACTCGTGAGGCCAGCCACTCTTTCCTGCCTGTCCAGGCAGCTCACTGTCCCTCCTTGAATGCCTCATCCCCACACAGGTCCCTCTGTATGACCAGTGGGAGGACGTGATGAAGGGGATGAAGGTGGAGGTGCTCAACAGTGACGCTGTGCTCCCCAGCCGGGTATACTGGATCGCTTCTGTCATCCAGGCAGCAGGTGGGTGTTCCTCTGGCCACGTAGGGTCAGTGTCTGGAGAGTGGTATCTCCAGATGGGTGGGCAGTGTTATAGGAAGAAATTGGCTTCACAAAACAAACAAAAAACCCACCCAGTTTCTGCCTCTCTTCCTGGGATTCTCCTACCTTCCCTACCTTGGAGGGGACCTCAGCTTGGCAAGTTTGGAAACTCCCATTTTTTAAGTTGATTCCAAGGATGATCAGGCTATAGAAAATTCTCACCACTATGCCGTACTGCTTTCCAAGTAAGTGGCATGGGTTTGTTTGGGCTCTGACTGTTGTGGACAACAGGGACTCAGCTCCTGGAAGGAGTTCTTGGAATAGGCAGCGGAGAGTCCGCTGTAGGCTGCAGAAGAGAGAAGGCCTAAGAATATACCTTTCCCCATCCCACCCTCCCTCACTGGTGCCCTTTCCCTTCTTTCAGGGTACCGGGTGCTGCTCCGGTACGAAGGCTTTGAAAATGACGCTAGCCATGACTTCTGGTGCAACCTGGGAACTGTGGATGTCCACCCCATTGGCTGGTGTGCCATCAACAGCAAGATCCTGGTGCCCCCTCGGAGTGAGTTAATGAGAACATTCTCTGTCCTGGTTCCTGCGGGCCTTTGGTAGAAGGGGGAGTTCTCTGTCTTAGGTTAGAGCAGAACAGAACCCCCTTGCCACCTTGCTTCCTGTTCTCCCCTGACTCAGAGGCCCTGTGGCAGATCCAAGTTGTGCAGCCTGATTTTATAAGATGAGGTTGATTGCTGGCCTGATGAGGCAGAAAAAAATTGTTCTGTCCCCTCTGCTGATCTCTGGCACCCCCTGTCGGTGGGAGTGTTGTCTGTCTGTGTAATCAGCTTGTCTCTCCACAGCCATCCATGCCAAGTTCACCGACTGGAAGGGCTACCTCATGAAACGGTTGGTAGGCTCCAGGACGCTTCCCGTGGATTTCCATATCAAGGTCTGGCAGTGAGCCCTTTGGGTCTCCTAACTGACCTCCTTCCTGCCTATCTCCCCTTTTATCTGTCCTTCATGCTGCTCACTGGAGTATTTTTCCTAAGACTCCCCTGCTTGACGGTTTAGTGGCTCATCCTCCCCACCCAGACTCTTTGATCCAGCCATTTGCTCTTCCAGACCCTTACCTTTGCTCATAGCATTTTTCAGGAGCGTCCGTTCAACAGATTTTATTAAGTACTTGTTGTAAACAAGGCACTGTAGGAAATACAGACCCTGCCATCCAGGACTCTCCAGTCTGGCAGAGGAAATGAAGTCATGCACCTGAATAATTATAAAATAGCCTTGGTTCTGAACCAGGGATGTACCTCAGAATCATCTGTGTGGCATTTATTTATTTTTTTAATAATTTTTATTTATTTATTTTTTTTCCCCCAAAGCCCCAGTAGATAGTTGTACGTTGTAGTTGCACATCCCTCTAGTTGCTGTATGTGGGACGTGGCCTCAGCATGGCCGGAGAAGCAGTACGTCAGTGCGCGCCCGGATCCGAACCCGGGCCGCCAGTAGCGGAGCGCGCGCACTTAACCGCTAAGCCACGGGGCCGGCCCTTGTGTGGCATTTAATTTCACTTTAAAAAAATCATTTAGTTGTTGAACTTGAAAATCATGCACATGGTAAAAATTCAAAGGGATCACAGGGTACAAGTGAAGACTTAGTCTCTCCCACTCTATATGCCAGACCTCCAGTGTGGGGCTCGCTCACACAGGGCCTAGGCCACACCTGAGGTCTCCTGACCCAGATGCTCATGGGTGTGGTTCCCAGGTTGCCCTGGGTAAGTGTCCCAGCAGTGAGTGGAGGGGTGCAGGGCAGGCACTGCCATGACACGAAACTGAACTGGCCTTGTGGCCTCAGGAGGAGCGGGTATTAAGGAAGGCTTTGTGGAGAAAATGGCATTTGATTCTGCCGTGATGGGTAGGGTGGGGGTGGTGTGGAAGCCCGCAGTGGAAAACAAGGCTGGAGTGGGAGTGGGGGCCATGTCACCTAAGGGGCCTGATGCGGGGGAAATGGCCTTCAGCAAGGAATGGTTCCAGCACCTCAAGGAAGCATTCTCTGGCTTTTTTTCCTTAAAGTAGAATTGATTTTTCCCTTATTTGAACTCGCTGGGTACTACTCATTTGCTGTTTATGTCCCTGAATGTTAATTATCTTTTCATATTATCTTTCCAGCAAAACTGTAAGCATTTTCTCCTGTATTGCCCACAGTGCCTTGCCCTTACAGGGCTCCCGTTCCCACACATGACTGTGAACAAAACAGGGCAGTGAAGTGGTGTTGGGTCGGGGCTGTGCTGGGTGGGCCCACAGGAAAGGAGGGTGTCAAGGAGGGGCCAGGTCCGGGAGGCGCCTCACTCTCCTGAATGGGCCCGTCAGGCAGTCGGTGTCAGGTGTGCTCCAGCCCTTGAGCTGAGGGCTGGAGGGTCTGTGGTGCAGGACTCTGGCAGCTTTTCCTGGTGGCTGCTTTGTGACCTCTGAGGCTCTCCTCCTCTGGTGGGATTTGAAATGGCGCTGCTCACTCCCCACCACGCCCAGGCTGGGGCTGGTTCCCACTGAGCTAGCAGTGCCCTGGGGCTGGAAGGCCCTACAGAGCTGACCGCACCCATTCCCCTGCCCCAGGCAAGATGGCACCAAAGTCACAGCAAACAAAAGGAATCTCCCACCCCCTCACCCATGCCCTGCCATCGGGGTTCTCTTGAGCAGTCTGTGGTCCTCTTGGTCCCTGTCCCTTGCTGGGTCAGAGGGGGCAGGCATTGCTACTGAGGTGCTAGGTTCATAGCCTCAGCCCAGCAGGGTCAGAGCTAGAATTAGACTTATGCGGGCACAAGGGAACTCAGTTCTCTGGACACAAGGCTTGTATGTGACCCCAGCAGGGGGTCAGGAGGTAGAGCGGAGTGTGGGGTACCTGTGGGATCAGAGTGCAGATCCCTGAAAGAGCACAAGGCTGGACACCAGGACCAAGTTCCAGTCTCAGCTCTGGCACTAATGCGTCTGTGTGCCTCTGGGCAAGTCACCTGACCTCTCCAGGGCACCTGTTTCCTTAGTCTGAAATGGGTTTGTAGTTCCCATCATATTGACTGACTGGCATTTTGGCGCACACGTTATAAGCTGTGCACTGTCCCTCAGTATCATCCTAGAGAATTGGGGACCAGGATGGGAGGGCTCACCTGCCCACTTCCTGACTTAGTGATTGGGGTGGTTCCACCCCACCTTCCCTGTCCTCTGGTTACTTTCCAGAGACAGAGCAGGAAGGTGGGTGGAGGGTCCTCATGACCACAGCAGGCCTGTGTTCTGATGTCATTGCAGATGGTGGAGAGCATGAAGTACCCCTTCCGGCAAGGCATGCGGCTGGAGGTGGTCGACAAGTCTCAGGTGTCACGGACCCGCATGGCCGTAGTGGACACGGTAATTGGGGGTCGCCTACGGCTCCTGTACGAAGATGGTGACAGTGATGATGACTTCTGGTGCCATATGTGGAGCCCCCTGATCCACCCAGTGGGTTGGTCACGGCGTGTCGGCCACGGCATCAAGCTATCAGGTTAGCAAAGCCCCAATCCAGCGTGACCCCAGGCTTTGTTGCCCCAAGGCCTGGGTGAGAGCACCTTCTCTACACCCCACAACAATGCTCTGTGGTAGAGGTGGTCATCTCTACCCTGCAGATGGCAATACTGAGGTCCAGAGAGGTCGAGAGACTTGACCAAGGTCACTCAGCTTATAAGTGGTAAAATCAGTTTGAACCCAGAGGCTACAGGCCCCATCCTCTCCCTTGTCATGTGGGAAGAGTCGGGGTCTCAAGGGCTGAAAAGTCCTTACAGAGAGCTCCTGATGTTTTCTGTCTTCTAGTCTAGGTGGGGGCTGGGGGTGCTGTGGTACAGGTTAGAGCAAGGCAGCCCCCACATTTCTGGGGGAGGCGTGAACATGGCCCTGTTAGCAGCCTTCATCTCCCTTCTCTCCCTCACTCCTTCTGCCATCTCCCCAAAAGAGAGGCGCAGTGACATGGCCCACCATCCCACCTTCCGGAAAATCTACTGTGATGCTGTTCCTTACCTGTTCAAGAAGGTGAGGCACGCCCCTGGGCACTTTTCCCCTTGACCATAGGTCCATTCCAGGCCTGAGGCCCCTGGCTCTTCCCGGGATGTCCCTTTCCTTCCCCATTTCCTTCCCAGGCCTATGGCAGATGAGGCCTGCTTCCCCCCCATCCCCCCGGCTTCACCTGGGCCAACCCAGAGATGCCCCAACTGCCCCCTTCCTTTAAGGTTCGAGCTGTCTACACGGAAGGTGGTTGGTTTGAGGAGGGGATGAAACTGGAGGCCATTGACCCCCTGAATCTGGGCAACATCTGCGTGGCAACCATCTGCAAGGTGAGCGTGGGGCTGGCCCTGCTGCCTCCAGTGTGGCTTTCTGAGGGGCCGGAGATGGCACAGAGCTCTGCACTCCATGTCCATCCCACCTGCCCAGCACAGGCTGCTCCCGGGGTACCTGATTTTTGTGAGTAGCGGACTTATCTGCTCCTTGCTCAGAATCTGCTTTTATGTCAGGCTCCGAGACGAGTTGGACAGGTGTTTTTTGAACACCTGGCCTGAGCCTGGTCAGGTGTAGGCCCCGCCCTGTCACCTCACTGGGGGCTTCCCACTGCCACTTGCCATCTTTTGAGTGCTGGTCTAGCCGAGAGCCACAGCCGGGCTGACTTTGCTGCAGCCCGAGGAGCAAATGCCCACCCTTTGGCCCTCCTGGGGGACATGCTGACTTGTCCATTCAGCAAATCTCCAGCCTGGGCCTTTGTGCTCACCACTGAGGACACAGTGGCAAAAAGACAGATGTAGTCCCTGCTGGCATGGCGTTGGCTGTCTAGTGAGGATGGTAAATCACCTCACAGGTCTGGGTCACAGGAGTGCTGAGTGCTCTGAAGCACAAGCTCAGGGAAGGCTGAGCTCTAGCTCCGGTTGGATACATCTGCCTCGCATCCCCACCATAGACACCTTACCCTGGGATGGGGGTGCAGTTCACGACACCGTCTTCTCCGTCTGCTCTGCCCCCACCCCACCACCCCTTAGGTTCTCCTGGACGGCTACCTGATGATCTGTGTGGATGGGGGCCCCTCCACAGATGGCTCCGACTGGTTCTGTTACCATGCCTCCTCCCACGCCATCTTTCCAGCCACCTTCTGCCAGAAAAATGACATTGAGCTCACACTCCCAAAAGGTAAGACTGGCCTTGCAGTCGGAAGGGGCAGGGTGAGGCCACAGGCCCAGATTCCTGGCCAAACCAGACCCCTGGAGCGTGGAGTCTCAGACTGGAGAGGAGAGGTGACAGAGCCACCCAAGGCCACCACTAGCTGGTGTGTGACTTGGTGAGCAGAGCTCCCACTTGTCCTTTTGGGCAGTGAACAACCTGTACAACAGGACAGTGGTCCTAGAGCATGGGGAGAAGGGAAGAAGGCTTCTGGGGAGTTTCCAGGCTGGGTCCTGACCAAGCTGCAGGCACCCCTTTGGCAGTGTGCTCCTTTCCTGGATTCCCTCCCATCCCCCTCCTCTCCCTCCACATCTGTGCATTCTGTTCCTCTAGGGTACGAGCCACACACTTTCAACTGGGAGACCTACTTGGAGAAGACCAAGTCCAAAGCAGCTCCATCGAGACTCTTTAACATGGTGAGGAGACTGAGGATGCATGGGATTGGGACGGCCTCAGGACTGGCCCTGCCCACGGTCAGTGGTGGCAGTTCAGCCCCTTCTCTTTTCTTGAGTCTCTACTGCTGAGATCAGCCACTTTGGGGGAGAAGCCGCAACTCTGACGTGGGCACTGTGCTGAGCGGTTTAGCCAGTCCCTTTCCCAGAGGGGCTGGAGCGTGGGAACAAAGTGCAGTGGCGTCATTGGTCAGAGGAACCTTCCCCTGTGGGCACTCAGCCCTGCACCCTCCCCCCGATTCTGCCCCGCTGGGGCAGGGAGCTGGCTGGCTTGGTCACTGCCTTCTTCCCCCTCCCCAGGACTGCCCCAACCACGGCTTCAAGGTGGGCATGAAGCTGGAGGCTGTGGACCTGATGGAACCCCGGCTCATCTGCGTGGCCACAGTGAAGCGGGTGGTGCATCGGCTCCTTAGCATCCACTTCGATGGCTGGGACAGCGAGTATGACCAGTGGGTGGACTGTGAGTCCCCGGACATCTACCCCGTCGGCTGGTGTGAGCTCACAGGCTACCAGCTCCAGCCGCCCGTGGCTGCAGGTCTGGGCTCTTGCAGCCCTCAAGGGCTCTTGACTTTCCTCTTCTTTTTCCTTCCTGCCACCCACTCCCCTGCCCTATGCCCACCTCATTCTTTGGCATGAGATCGAGAAGTCTCCTGGGCCACCTCTGAGTAGGGGGGCCCTCGTCTCCCCTCCCCCCGCTCCTGACTTCTCTGTCTCCCTCTGGCCTGCAGAGCTCCTTCCTTGACCTCCCCACCCTGTCATATGCTCGTGCCCTTGTGCACCCAGGTAAACTACCCAGGTCCCTCCGAGCAGCCCTGGTGGCGAGGGTGGGCAGAAGGGACAGCTGTTCTCCAGTCCCTCCCCTCAGCGCCCCCTGCCCCGGTTCTCATTGCCCAACTTTGGCTCTCCTTCTTGGGGTGTCCTGTGAGTAAGGGAGGCTAGTGAGGGGTAGGCAGGGGTCTTGGGATGTGCCTGTACCCCATGTCCTCTCCCAACCCTCTTCTCACCTCCTGCCCTTGTCTTTCAACAGCAGAGCCGACCACACCTCTGAAGGCCAAAGAGGCCACGAAGAAGAAAAAGAAACAGTTTGGGAAGAAAAGTACGTGATGCTTTAAGCAGCCCTGGGCTGGTGTGGGACCTGGGATCGGCTGGGCCTGTGTCCTGGGAGCGGAGGGGGGAGTTGCCGCTTAGGTGGCGCTCTTCATGGTCCCTCCATCTCCTCGCCCTCGCCCTTTGGCCCCACGGGCCTGTCCCCGAGCATAAATAGGGAGTCTTTAGTCTCTGGCAGTGGTCAGGATGCCAAGGAAAAGCGACAGGAGATTGTAATTGAGAGAGAGAAGCAGGGATCCAGCCCCACTGCCCCACAGTCAGAAATCGGCATGGCTTCCTCGGCAGTGTGCAACTGCTGTGTTTGCAAGTAACAAGCCTGGGAGGAAGTGGAAGCTGCTCGCCAAGGCTGTCGTTCTTCCTTCGTGACCCCCTGAGGGGTGGGAGCAAGAGCAGCCACCGAGCTTTGGTGTCTCTCCCTAGGCGGGGCCTCCCTCTCAGTAGGTCCTGAGCCTAGCGTGGGCTCAGCTCAGGCAGCAGGTTGGAGGGGGCAGGGAGTAGAGGGGGCAATGCCGTCCTCCAGAGCTGCAGGCTGGTGGCTGTGAGGTGGTCTCCACGACATGGCACCACCCAGAGAAGAGGACAAAGTGGGACAAAGAGGAAATGGATATGGTCCCTGTGCAGCATTAAGATGCTGTGAGGATATGGAGTTGATTAAGTGGGAGGCCCCTGTGCCGTTCAAAACGTAGGGCTGGGAAAGTTGCATTTCACAGGTGAAGAAAGTAAGGATTGGAAAAGAGAAGCTTAACAACCATGGGGGTGGGGTGGGGGGTTGGGGGCATGGGCAGGGGGTGGCATTAATCCCCTATTGGAGAGAACCTCTCTGAGCCTCAAGGCAGCCCTGAGGGGCGATGTCAGAGTTCAGGCCTCCTGTTCCTGCAGGTCGGCACCTTCGCTTCTGCTGGATGAGACCCAGCCTTTGAACCTCACGTGGATACAACCCTATGCTGGTTTAATTCCTTTTTTATTCAAAGGGAAAAGAATACCACCAACCAAGACCCGGCCCCTCAGACAGGGGTCCAAGAAGCCCCTGCTGGAGAACGACCTGCCGGCCGCAGAGAAGACCTCGTCAGAGCCCGTTTCCGATGAAAGTAAGAGCCTCCTGGGTGGGGTCAAGGCAGTGCTCAGAGACGGCCCCTCTCCTTCCCTACCTGGCACAAAAGAGTAAAGTTTAAAGGGAATTTTCTGGGCACCAAGCAGTCCTTCTCGGACCACCGGGCCTGGAGAGCTTCCCAAACATCCACCCCCAACTCTGAATGGAGCCGAGCATCTCCAGCCTGCCCTCTACTTCTCTGCCCCCACCTCGTGTGCTTGGCAGAGTGGGCAGCAGAGAGGCAGGTGCCAGTGGCTCTGGCACAGCCTGCCTGGCTGGGGTGTGACAGGGCCCTGGGCCTTCTCTGCTGCCTGCCCCCATGGAGGGGGAAGGTGCTCTCCCTGCCACATCCTGAGGGCCCCCATCTGTAAGAAGCCAGATCCCTTCCCCAGATGCTGGGTCCCCTGCCCTCCGCAGAGTTACACACACACTCACTCTGTTCCCCGGCCCTCCCCACCTCCCCCTTTAGTCATTGCTGTGCGTGTAAAGGAAGAGCATCTTGACGTGGCCACGCCGGACAAGGCCCCAAGTCCAGAGCTGCCTGTTCCCATCAAGAACATCAAACAGGAGACAGACGACTAAGCCTTCCCCACTGGCAGCCTGGCCACCTCGCTGGAAGCCAGCCCAGGCTCCTCATTGCCCCCATCCCTCCACCCCACTTGACTTTGGAGACTGAGCCTTTTTGCCTAGATTCTGCCTGGTGCTGTGAGGGCCCGGCACTGAAGCAACAGCTGGGGTCTCCTTTGACCCACACTGTTGCCTCTGTCCTCCTCTGTGGCAAGGCCTACGTGACTGGGGCTGCCTGAGGCCCCCAGACTTGTCTCTGAGCAACTCCATCTCCAGCTGGAGTTCCCAAAGCTCTTCCTCACAGTAGCCTTCTCTGTACCCACTATATCCCTCAGTGGCCGGGGGTTGGGGCTGCCCCCAGTCACTCTGGAAGACAAGACAGTGAGTGAAGTGTGTGTGTGTGTGTCTGAGCAAGTCATATGAAGGCCTGGAGCAGCTCTCTTGGGGAGACGGTCGCCTGTGCTTGCTGGATGGGTGCTAACTTGGTTTGCTCAGGACCTGGGCTGTTTGGTATCATCCCAAAGATGGGTGACCAGGCCAAGGGGAGCCGATTTCCAGCTGGTTCATAGAGAACCTGATCCTATCTCCTTTGCTAAAGGCACTAGGCAGCCCCACATGGTGCAGAAACCAGGCCCAGAAAGCGGCCTGTTGGCGCAGTCTGAATTTTCCAAGAAGTGACTAGGTTTGGAACACAGTGAAGACCAAGGATAGGGGCATGTCTCAGGACAGAGGGGCCCTGCCTCTCCCGCCATTACACACACCCCCAGACTTGAGCAGTGATGGGCCAGTGAGCCCCAGGAGAGGAAGATGGCCCAGGTGTGCACTTTGGCTCCTGCTCATGGAGCCCAACTTCTGTTGAGGCTGATGTGCCCGGCTAAAAATAATTCATCGTCCTGGATTCCCTTGCAGTTAAGGGATCCGGTTCTGGCTGAAGAGCTTCTGGGAAAACTGGACTTGTATGGCATTTCGGCCCTTAGTTCCCTCCTCCTGAATGAAGACATGCCTACAGGTGCTGTGGGCACAAAAGCCCCATGGTAAGGATGGCAGAGCTGGAAGACAAGTTTAGCTGCCATTCCAGCCCTGGACTGGCTCCCCAGACTTCTTAACTTGTATGAGACAATTAAATCCCTTCCTTGCTGAAGTCCAGTTAGATTTCTGTTCCTTACAGCAGAGTGTATTCTGATATGTCACCTCATAGTATGAATTATGAAGATGAAGTGAATTCACACGTGAAGTGTGCACAGAACAATAATGTCTCCTGTCATCTGTTGAGCGCCCCATCTCCATAGCAACCACATGCTGTATTATCTTGATTCATGTTTCTGCCATTTCTCCAAAGTCCAAGCCTGGGTCTTGTCTGTCCCTCGTGCCTGGCACAAAGTTGGCCCCAGTGAGTGCGTATGGTGTGGAAGTGTACATGACTTGTTGTGTTGCTGGGGCCTAAAGGTCAGTTTGATTTGTCACAGATGGAAGTGTTGACCTCTGGGAGGGACATTTTCACTCAAGGCACACAATGAACCTTGTGCCTCGGTTGCCCCTGGAAGGAACTGACAGTCCCGGAGTCTCGCAGCAGTGGGGCCGCTGGCTGGGGAACATTATCCAGAAGCACTCGCACTCCCTGCTCCCGCTGCTCAGTGACCTGCAGTGGCTCCCTGGCACAGATGAGACCAAAAGCACACACTAGAGGAAGCTCCCTTGCACCTTTACTGTCCCCCATCTAGACCCTCGGCTCTGCTCGAGGGACAGGGAAGCAAGGGAACTGCCATAACAGCCTCATATGCCAGGCACTAGCTTACACGTGTTGCCACAGCTTATTTCATCTCCACAGCATCCCCGTGAGGTACGTGTTGACTTCATTTTACAGATGAGAAAAAGCAAGGCTCGTTAAGATTTAGTAACTTGGTTGCTTAAGCGTACAACTGTTAAATGACAGCGGTGGGACTAAAGCCCTGTTGGTCTGCCATGTTACCACCAGTACTCACTCTCCTTCAACAGTGTTTACTAAGCCCCTTCCACGGGCCAGACACCAAACTAGAGCCTGGCACCTCCGAGGAGAGTGAGGCGCTGGCAGCTCAGCCTGGTGCCTTCAGCAAGGTGAGCACCCTGGCAGGGCTCAGGATCCTTATCTTTCAACTCCTTTGTATTCCTGGGAGGAAACTGCCACTTTCAACAAAAGAAAAAAGAAAAACCTAGAACTCCAGGGCTGGCAGTTGGTGGAACATCTCCATGTAAGAAAGGGTGGCTGGATGGAAGAGTCCGTGATGTCCTGATTCCTGCCACAGCTGCCATACTAGGCGGGGCGGGCTTCTCTTGTAACTAAAGCCCTGACCTGGAGGCAGACCCATGAGAGCTTCTGCTCCTGAGCCAGGCTCAGCGCCCACACGCGCTCCCCCAGGGCTGACGCAGGGAGACGGCATTGATGCTGTTTATTATCAGCACAATGCCTGGCAGAAAGTTGGTGCCACGCAAGTGTCGGCTGAGATTAATATTGGCTGTTGATTTATGCTAGCTCTAGGTCTTGCTTCTAAGGCAGAACTCACTTTTTTTTCCTGCCGAGGAAGATTGGCCCTGGGCTAACATCCACGCCCATCTTTCTCTACTTTATATGGGACACCGCCACAGCGTGGCTTGACAAGTGGTGCGTCAGTGCACGCCCAGGATCTGAACCCGTGAACCCCCGGCCAGCGAAGCGGAGCGCACGCACTTAACTGCTGTGCCACCAGGCTGGCCCCGAGAACTGCTAACTTTAGTGTGGGGTCTTTTTAGGGGTTCCTTCCTCACTCCCAGCCTACCTCCATAAGGAACACTGTCATGGGTTGAATTACGTGCCCTCAAAGATATGCCTCGGAATGAGACCTTATATAGAAATACGGTCTTCACGGAGGTAATCAAGTTAAAATGAGGTCATTAGGGTGGGCCCTAATCCAGTATGACGTGTGTCCTTATAAAGGGTAATTTGGACACAGATGTAGCAGGAAGATGATGTGAAGAGACACAGGCAGACACCACATGAAGATGGAGGCAGACATTGGGGCTGTGCTGCCAACATCCAAGAACACCTGGGGCCACCAGAAGCTGGAAGGGGACCGGAAGTATCCTCCTCTAGAGCCTTCAGAGTGAGCCCTGCCCACACCTTGATTTCAGAATTCTAACCTCCAGAACAGTGAGACATGAATGGCTGTTGTCCTAAGCCGCCCAGTTTGTGGTGCTTTGTTACGGCGGCCCGAAGGAAACTAATACAAGCACCATCTCGTGGCCCCCAGGCACCCCGAATCTTCAAATGCGGCTCCAGAGGCAGGCAGAGCCCTCTCCCCACCTTCCTTTGTTCTGTTCTCACTTTCCTCTAAGGACTGGCTTCTCCCTATGGGCCCCCCACATGCCCTCACCATACAGCAGGGGTTCCCACATGGAGGGGGGCCCATATCCTGCTCGCTCTTCTCTGACATACTGTGAGATTTTGCTATAGTTGAGCATTCGGGTGTGAATGGGTTGTCGGGATGGTGGGTGTGATGTCAAGGGGGTGATGGAACGATGTAGAGTGGGGTCCAACATGTGGCTGACAAGGGGTGGGAGGCGGTGCCAACTCTACACCTGTACTTCTGCTTTTCCCGTCCCAGGGATGAGAGGGGCCCTTGAGGTCAGAGTGGGAAAGGGTCAACAGTGACCCAGCAATTACGGTGACAGCGGGATTGATTCCATGGACACACCGGGTCCCGGCATGCTATGGCTTATTGGAAAGGCCACTGTCCCATAGCATGGAATAGCGTATAGTCATTTCCTTACAAACCCACCCTGGGCCCAGCCCCAAGGTGGAGGAGGTGAGGAGAGAGGAATGGACATTACTGAACAGAAGCAACAGGGTCATTGCCCAGATCTGGCACCACATGAACCTGAGACCAAGAGAAGTCAGACTCCTGCTACCCTGGGGGTTTTGGAACCTCACCCACCCACCAAGGCCCACCCCCACCTGCCCCGAGGCCAACCTTGTCGGCTCCCCACCGTCTTCTCTTCATGGGGCTTCTTCTGGCACCAGGCGTCCGCTTGGCCTTCCTGGCAGCCCAGCCCGGACAGGCTTCAAAGACAGCAGCTGCAGCCTTCACCCTCTGGCCACGGGCCCTGGGAGGGGCGGCACAGGTGGCCCCCACGCGCAGGTTCAGCCCAGTGAGCCACCTGAGGAGAAGAGAGAGTTCGGGGAAACCACTGTGCTTAGCTTTCCTGAGGAGGGCAAGGAGGCCCTCGGGAATTGGGGGCAGTGGGGCATAGCGGGTGAGAGCGGACTCTGGAGAGAGTGCTGGCTCGGCCGCTCACCAATCACGTGACCCCCAGCAAGTCCCTTCAAACCTCAGATCCCTTCTCTGTAAAAAGGGGGCAGTGACAGTAATGAACAGTTACAGAGGGCTGACGACCAAGACACTGTTCAGACCAATGTATATATGCTAATGAGTTTAATGTTTTCTTACAAACCACCACCACCACGGGGTGGACAGGAGCACTATCAGCCCCTTTACAATGAGGGACCGACCAGCACAGAGTTAGCCAGTCGCAGAGCCAGATTTGAGCCCAGGTCTGCTGACTCCGGGGTTCTTATTGCTTTCTTATATGACTGTGCCAAGTGCCCACGCATATGTATTAGGTCCCACCACACCAGGCTGCACAGATTTCATTCCCTCTATGGATGAGGGAACAGAGGCTCAGAGAAGTACACCCCAAGCCCCGTGCACGTTTGGTTCCCCCTGGAAGGGTGGCCAGCCCTGGCAGGACCCTACCCCAAAAGCTGCTCGGCTGGCGCAGACATGGTGCCCTGGGGAGATGCTGGGGGCTTGATGAGAGCAGCTGGTGGGTCCCAGCTGGGGCTCCAGGTGTGGGTGCTCACCTGTGAAGCGGGAGCAGCTGGCAGTCACAGCGGAAGGGATTGCCACTGAGGTCGATGAGCTCCAGCTGGCTGAGACCAGGCAGAGCCGGCAGGGCCTGCAGCTGGTTCTTCTGCAGGTGTAGGCTCTGGAGCCGGGGTCCCAGGCCCGAGAAGGCCCCAGGAGAAATCTGCAAAGAGGTGCCAGCCTCTGGTGTAAGCTCCTGCCAGGCCCACCCCACCCCCAGGCTTGGAGGGAGCCCTGTGCTCCCCCAGCAGAAGGGAGGAGGAGAGCCCAAGGTGGCGCAGGCAGGAAGGGCAGTGCTGGTGTGGAAACCCAGGTTGATCTGATGCCAAAGCACTTGCCCTTTGCAAGCCACCCAGACCCCCAGTTCATGGTTCCTTCTGCTGTGCCTGAGCACCCCGCATAATGGCAAAGCCTCTTGGGGGCTCCAGCCCTGCCCTCAAAGCATACAACAGTAGGTAATCCTATGAACCCACGTTCCTCTCTCCTCCAGGTCCCAGCAGTGCCCTCCCTGGCAGGCCTCTCCGTGTGGCATATGATTCTGCCTGGTCTGTTGCTCATACCTGAGCTCCCTGGGGGCACACACAGTGTCTGGCTTATTTCAGGGTCCCCAGACCCAGCCTCGGGCCTGGCACTGCGGGGGTGGCAGAGTTTGTTGAGTGCACACTGCGTGGGCCCTCATGCTGCCTCCCCCCACCCCTACACCCCCTGTGCCCACCTGTTCCAGGCCGCTGCTGTTCAGGAAGAGGTGCTGCAGGGACCAGCCCATGGGACGGAAGGCCCCGTCGTGCAGGGCCCTGAGCGGGTTCCCCGAGAGCTGCAGCTCCAGGAGGGCAGGCAGCCCCTCCAAGGCCTCAGTGGGCACCTTTCGCAGCTGGTTCCTGTCAAGGTGTAGCTTCTCCAGCTCCCGAGCTGGGCCCAGGGCCCCAGGGGACACTTGGGTGATGCGGTTCCCACTCAGATAGAGCCAGCGCAGGGCCTGCACGCCTGCCAGGTCCCCAGGGGCCAGGTGGTCCACAGCGTTGTCCTGCAGGTGCAGGGAGAAGAGGCTGGGCAGGGCGCGCAGGGCTGCCCCCGGCACCCGCCGGAAGCGGTTGCGCTCCAGGTACAGGTAGCCAAGGCGGGGGGCCCCTTCAAGGGCGGCAGCGCCGAGGCCTGAGAGCTGGTTGTCAGACAGGTAGAGGTAGATCAGGCTGCCCAGCCCCACCAGGGCACCCGCCTCCAGCTCCGCGATGCTGCAGTGTTGCAGGTGCAGCGACACCAGGTGGCCCAGGCCTGGGAAGGCCGCTCGGGGTACCAAGGGGAAGTGGTTCTGCCTCAGGTCCAGGAGCTGGGTGTCGTTGGGGAAGCCGCGGGGCACGGCCCGCAGGCCTTGGCCCTCACAGCCGCTGTGCCGCGACTCGGAGGCGCACACGCAGGCGCGCGGGCAGGGCTTGGCCGCCCCATCATCCTCCTTGGGGACGCCGAGAGGGGCTCGGGGCCGCATGGCAGCCAGCTCCTCTTCCTCGTCCTCCGCCCCATCTCCAGGGCAGCGCAGGTCCGAGGGCCGCAGGCTGTCCAGGGCCTCACCTCGCAGGCGCCGGGGCCCCCTGCACGCGCCATCTGAGCGCACGCGTGTCCGCGCCAACCACTCGAGCAGTGGCCGGGCCTGGCAGCCACACCACAGCAGATTCCCCTGCAGCCGCAGCCGGTGCAGCTGCCCCAGGCCCTGCAGTGGCGGCAGAGTGTCCAGCTGGTTCCCACGGAGGTCCAGGGTGTGCAGGTGTGGGCAGCGGGCAAAGGCCCTGGGCTCCAGAGCCTGCAGGGCTCCGTGGTCCAGCATCAGCTCCCGAAGGCTGGGCAGCGCCAGCCCGTCCTCCTCGCCCACATAGGTGAATGGGTTGTGGCCCATCTCAAGATGGACCAGGCCCTGGGCCTGAGACAAGGCCACGCCAGGCACGGCCTGCAGCTCATTGTGGTGCAGGCTGAGCCGGCGCAGGGCGGGCATGCCAGCCAGGGCCTCGGGGGCCAGCACGCTGAGCGCATTGTGGGACAGCTGCAGCCAGCGGGCGCGCATCAGCCCCTGGAAGGCCATGGCGGGCAGGTAGACAAGGGCGTTGTGGGCCAGGTTCAGCGTGGCCAGTGCACCCAGTGCCCCGAACGTCCCCGGACGCAGCTCCTCCAGCATGTTCCCCTCCAGCTCCAGGCGCCGCAGTGAGCCCAGCCCGTCCAGCGCCTCCTGGGGCAGCACGGTCAGGCGATTAGAAGCCAGGTTGAGAAGAAGTAGGCGGCCCAGGCCCCGAAAGGAACCCTCAGCCACCAGCTCCACCTGGCAGTGCCGCAGGTCCAGATGTGTCAGGTAGGGCAGGTCCTGGAAGGCAGCTGGAGAGATGACCTTCAGCATGTTGCCCTGGAGGTCCAGCCGCTGGGTCAGCTGAGCAGGGAGAGGTGAGAGAGGCTGAGCAGCACAAGGACTACGGCCTGTGCCCCTTGCTAACCCTAGCCTTTGCACGTGCTGTTCCCTCACCTTTCCCACATTCTCTTCATCAGACACCTCCTCCAGGAAGCCTTCCTCCCCAGCCACCAGGGCATCCCACACTCTGGCACTTTTCACATTGAATTGTCACTGCCCATTTACCTTCTCTCTTTCCCACTAGCTCTTGACTCCACAGAGCAGAGACTATCTCTTATCCCAGGATATCCCCAGTCTCTGCCGCAGGGTCTGCAGTTAATTCAATATTTATCTATAGTTCACCTACTTGTTCCAATCACATAGGATTTTAAATAGATTGTCTCCCTGTGGTTGGTTATTATCATTCCCATTTTCCAGATGTGGAGACTGAGGCTCAGAGAGGAAAAGGGACTTGCTAAGTTCTCCCAGCCAGGCAGTGGCAGATCCACTGGTGCCAGCCCAGGCTCCTCCTCCTGCTGTCCTCCCCTGGACCCCTCCCCTGCTGACCTCAGGGATGGCGTTAGGCACCTCAGTGAGGTTCTGGTGCCGGCAGGAAACATGCCGCCTGACATTGTCACAGATGCAGGTCTGTGGGCAGCGTTGGGCAGTGGCATGCCAAGTGGGGCCCAGCGGCAATAGCAGAGGAAGCAGCAGCACCAAGGAGACGCTCTGGGACCTGGGAGAGGGAGGGAGGGTCAGGTATTCACAGGGGCAAGGGGCTCACACTGTCCACTCACTGAGCCCCAGGTCCTGTTCCCAGAGCCCCTTGAACATATTCGTCTTCCTCTGTTGGGCCCAGGGAAGGTCATTGCCCTGAGCCTCACAACCCCGCAGGCTGCAGAGGTTCTATTGTTAGCCCTGTTGTACACTGGGGAAAACTGAGGCTCAGAAAGGCGCCCTGGCGAGTCCCTTTGACTGTCTCCGCCCATTGGCTCCGGGAAGCCTTGATGAATGAAAGAATGGCTCCGGGGCTCAGAGCGTGTGCCCAGGCTGTGGTGAGGCTCCTGGGTACAGGGGGAGGCCTGGACCTCCCAGTGTGAGGTGGGTGGCAGAGGGAGAAGCCGCCAGTCCTCAGGCAGATGTGGCGCCAGCTCCACGGTGGCAGGGAGCATACTGGCACCCACCTCGAGAAGACAACCTGGTTGCGGGAGAGGGAACCCAGGCCCGGCCTGAGTTGTGAGGCAGGACTTGGGGGACCAGGTATTGTGGGCTCTGAGACCCTTAGGAGCCTAATGTCAGAGCCACAGTGACAGGTGAGCAGGTGGCTCAGGCCTCTTCTCCTGTTTATTCCCCTGTTGTCCTCCTTCATCTTAGTGCCACCCAGCTGGCCTAGACTGGGCTGGGAGAACTGAGGGTATGGGTTTGGGGCTGTGATTTGGGCAAAGTCAATCCACTTACCTGTCTGTGCATCCACCTGCCCCCCCCCATCCATCCATCCATTACCCACCTGGACCCCTTTATCTCACAACTACAGCCACTGCCTGTTTCTTCTTAGGGACACTGCTGCCACGGTGGTTCTGGCCTCCCCAGTGCTCCACTCACCACCAGCAACCAAAGGGAATTTTCCAAAATACAGATATATCCTGACACCCCCAGCTGAAAACCCTCCAGCATCTCTCCACTGCCTTTGGTGGAGAGTCCTGACTCCTGATTCCCCTACTGGAATCTGCTCCAAGTCTTCAGTGTCACCCCTCGGCTCTCCCACCATAAGCACACAGCACCAGAGCCCCCTCCTCTTACCCCGCAACACCAGCTCACCCAGCTTTTCCTTCTGTTCTCAGCTTGAGTCACGGCCTCTGAGCAGCCTTCCCTGATCCCTGGGCTGGGCCCCCACCCTGTGCCTCCCCTATTCCCGCTCACTGGGTTGTCACCGTGCTTTTCAGCCTCCTTGGGCTCCCAGGGTCCAGCCCCAGCCTTGGGCTGGCGGCATCCTCCAGAGGCTGTGATGAGGCTGAGGCTCAGGGTGGGCTAGGGAGGGGGGCCCATGGGGACAGATCCCTGGGGGACAGGCGTCCAGGGCTCAGAGGGCTGCTGAGCTCTCAGACAAGGCCCCGAAGGACTAGCGCACAGGGGCAGCCACACTCCCACACACGGCCTTTTCAGAGCCCATTTCCGAGAGACCCTTAGGGGATCTCTGCCCAGGGAGACCCCAGAGCCCCATCCTCCAGCCCCTCAGAGGCCCAGAGAAGGACAGGGGCTTGCCTGCGGCCACTGAGCCTCTCTAAGCCCTCCTTGCACCCCTAGGGCCCAAAGACTTACCCCTCCATGCTGCCTTGCACTGCCAGTCCAGCCTGGAGGTGCTGCACAAGGAAAAGGCCGGCGACGGTCCCCGTCTGGATGCAGCCCCCCTCCCCGCCGCAGGCCTGGCAGCAGGGGCAGGGCTGAATGGGAGGCATTGTGGGCAGCCCAGCCCCAGGCTGAGGTGAAGGAGGGGCGGGCAGGGGCGGGAGCAGCGGCTGGAGTTACAGGGCCTCCTGCCCGGTGCCGGCTCAGGATCCTGGCCCAGGCCTGAGAGCCTGGCCTGGGCAGCCAGTCCCTGGGACAGCCTAGCAGAGAGGGCCCTCGAGGGGCTGCCCAGTGGGTCCCAGACCAGGGCTCCCTCTTGGCTGGGCTGTGCCTCACCGAGCCTCAGTCTCCTACTCTGTGAGAAAAAACATACTATTAGTAACTAGCTCACAGGGCTGCTGTGGGAGTTCAGGTGGGCACTGGCACCTAGTAGGCGCTCCAGAACCGTCACCTCTATTTGTGCTTATTACACATTTACATACATTGTTTAACACTGTACATACAATATCCTGCAATTTTGTTTTTCCACTCAACATCAGATTATTGGGAGTGATCCAA